CATTGTAGTCGCGATTCTGTACATCGCTTTGGAAAAGCCCATCCTTTCACGAAAATGATTTCCTCCTTTCCGCTTGCGCGCGATATAATATTAGATAATTTTAACGTAAATCGACGATTGTAAGTTACGATTTATACCAGCCATTCAGCAAAACTGACCTATATCGTTCCCTTTTTTCAAAAATAATACAACTAAGAAAATGTAATTTTCGAATTGTCACCATGAATTAAGTAAACGCGTTATCCTATTAATCGTCAAAAATCAACTCATTTAACTTCTTAAATATTATAAAAATCGTTAAAATACAATATGAAAAATGATAATAACCTAAATTCGTTTAATATCGCTCGTAAAAAATGGCACAAACTAAAAAAAACGTGATTTTCAGGTTATTACCATAAATGAGTTAAATATTAATCATTACTCTATCAATCTCACTAAAAGTAAACTAATTAATTAAGAAACTGTCACTCAGAAAGAGTGGTTTCAAAAAAATGGTCACAACTTAAAGAATGATTTAAAAAATTTTGTTAAGATTTTTTTTTTTAATTGTAAAACGACAAAATGACAAAAAATGACAAAAATGACACTTAATCATGTTAAGAATATATTCTTTTTTTTCTGGAAAAGTTAACTTTTTGAGTTGTGTCACTTTTGAAGTAAAAGTATAATATATTTTTGTAGAAGTTTCCTGAATCTTCATCATAAATCTGTTAAAATTTTCAACGGTAATGTTGCGTAAATATTGATATTTTTTTAAAAGAAAAGATATTTGTCCTTATAGAATTTCAATGAAACGAGTGAGAGTCACTGCTGAATAATCCCAGTTGCATCTAAATCTGTGTTGCGGTCCATGTGCGCTCAGTTCTGAAACAAGAGCACGGTGTACGATCTCGTAGCGGGATGATTTCCACGTCGACCTTTTTAACTGGCGTAGTTGCGCATGACTGCTTGGCATAGCGCAACGTGTAGTTGCAACTATTGTTTCTTCCGGACGTAATAGATTGCGCGAATCTAATTTAATCCCTTCGCTCGCGGCGCCCCCGAACTCGTTTAGATAAGTGCTGTTAATTACAAGTGCCGCAATCAACTAATCCTGTCAAATGCGCCTTCAAGATCACTCAGGCAAGCGAAGGTAACATCGCACAAATTACAAACGTCGGCGATACGTTCCCATGTTGATTCACTGTCATTTCCGTGTCAGTAAGTTTAATTGTTCTATCAACTCTGTAGTAATTTTTCCAAGTGACATATTGCCGTTTTCATTCTTAACATATGTAATATTCCTATACACAAACATCGAAAATATTTGTAAATATCTATAATGTTTACGTTAAAAGATAATTGTTAAAAGAAAAAACAAAAATTATATCTTCTACGTCGCTAATTTCGAATAATAAAATATATTAAAACTACCAAAATTTTCACCTCTTATTAATAAAAAAATATATTTAATATATTTATATAAAGAATATATATTTTGTAAAATTTCTTAAATCTCTAGATATTGAGCTTAACATTAGTCTGAATTCAATAAAATATATAAACAATTGTGTTGTTCAACTAGATTATTCTATATTGTAACTACCTTTACGTTAACCAAAACGATAGACTAAAAATGTTGAGCATCACTGGCGTCTGTAACCTCGTTCGTTCACCTGCGTTACACACGCGAGACCCGCGAGTAACATCTAAACTCTTTTACAGCTGCACTCTGTATCTATCGTTCCAATTATACGATCACTACATTCCAGGAAAAATTCCTTCATCGTTTTTTAAATTGCTTTTTTTTTGTCGGAATAGAGATGTGTACAACGAGAAAAAAGTTCACCGTTCAAATTATACATTCACAAAGTTCGCCATGTCATCAATACAAAACAGATTTAGTTAATTTCACTATTTAATATCTTTTTTCCAAACTTTCATTTTAACTATAAATATTTTGCGGCTATACAAAGAAACTGATGATACTAATAATAATAAATGTATCATTTGAAACGATAGTTTCAACTAAATCATTCCAAAAATACTGAGTACAATTTATCAATACGGGCGTAAAAACTCGATTCCGTCCTTCTATATTTGGCAAACGTAAAACATTAACGACCGAGATCCGATAAGATTAATGGTCATCCTAAATGTGCGATCGCGTGCAACGTTTGCAAAATTATTTATTAAGGAGCCGGTCGACGGACCGTATTATCCGAGTTTTTTTTCATGTCGGAAATTTAAGCAGCGAGTTATAAAATTCATGTCGGAACATTCGTAAGATCGGAGCATTCGATTTTTCTTCCATAGCCGCGAAGAATAACGACGTTCTTTAAGGGGATCCTAAAAATGCACACATACCTACGTATAATACACGAATTTAAATGATAAGAGTAAATCTAATTAAATAAGAGAATTTTTATATTTGATCAAAGCGGATCTTAGTGCTTAAGTGTTTCTGTGTGAATTTATATACATATCTGATTCTGCAATTTGCGCGCCAAAATTTTTTTCGGCCTTGAAACGTAATTATGAGCAAAATCAGAGTAGTAGTATTACTTATTAAATTGACAAGTAATTTTTGATGCGAATAAGCATCTTTATAAGAATATTAATAACTAGATAATGAGAATTCGTAAATAATTTTCACACATACGTACAAATTTCCTAATCTTTTATATTAGGTATCTAAGCCTAATCTTAAGAATTCGACATTATTCATGTAATCCTAAATTCAAACCAAAATTTATACGTATAAAGTACAAAACTTTCATATAAAGCAAATATTTTTACAACATATTTCAGAAACTGATAAACAAAATTAGTAGTTAAAAGCACAATTAAAATATAAACTGAAATAGTGTAAAATATCTAGCTCGAGATTGCTAAGCAAAATTAATAGTTAGAAAGATCAAAAAACACGAGCAACGTTTATTGGATCTTTAAAAATAAACTAGTTTATTACAACATACATTAAGAATTAAACTTTTGTTATCTATAAAATTAATCGGAATTTATAGATAATCTTTCTAACTACTAATTTTGCTTAGCAATCTCAAGCTAGATATAATAAATTTTAATTTATACTTTAATTGTAGAAAAGAATTTTTAAATTTGGTATAAAAGTAGTTAGAAAAATATTTACTTGAAAAATAATCGGTAAAACAGGCGACTTTAGGACCTCTTTAATGAGTCTACGCGACCTACGTCGCGGCGGGTTGCTGAGTAATAAGTAGTAACGGACGATTATAAGTCAGCCAGTCCCATCGTTCTTAATAACGCGCTTATAGGACACCGGTGCGAACTGCAACGCTTTACGAATACGCGTGAATTGATGGAAACGCAATCTCTGTGTGTCGTGAAAGAAACTCGAGGAGAGGCACACATTTGAGATGGCTTTTGCGAGGAAATATATGAGCGTACGTCAGAAGAAAAAATAGATACAACGTAACTGTTAACGCGACATCAAAGTCATCTGCGATTTATACGTTGCCGGACGAGCTTGCGAGAGAGACGTATTAAGTGAGTAGTAAATGACGGCAAACGGATGAAAAAAATGCATGCGAGAATATCTCCCGCATTTGTAGAGGACGGAAAAAGGAAAAAGAGGAAGCATTAATGACTCGCTCTTTATTAGAGAAATGTGTTTTGTGCATAAATCGAGGAAATCAACAGCAGACCGCCTCGCACGTAACTTCTTTGTGTTAGCATGAAGAGAATTTTTGTCCTAACAACTATTCTTTACGAACCTTTAAATATGTAATTCCATCGAAAACCCGCAATAAAAAGCGTTGTATTAATTAAAATTTTTATTTCCTAGAAATACTATTGTCATGTAGTATCAATATGCCCATTTTATGTAATAATTGACTTTTACTTACTTTTTTTCAGAAAATAATAATATACAATTATGTTGATGCGCGCTACAGTTCACACTGGCATTCTACAAGCGCGTTATTAAGAACGACGCGACTGGCTGACTTATAATCGTCCGTTACTACTTATTACTCAGCAATCCACCGCGACGTAGGTCGTGTTGACTCATTAAGGAGACTCCTAAAGTCACCTGTTTTAGCGATTATTTTTCAAGTAAATATTTTTTTCACTACTTTTATACCAAATATAACAATAATATACCTACTAATAATAGTGATTTTATAATTGGAGTATAAAAATACTTCATATGACCTTCACATTCTCGGGTGAAACGAGATCTTTCCGCGCACTTCGCGTAATGCCATTATTTACAGTATGTCATTTTGTTTTTCATAAATTTCGTCGCGTAGAGGAACGCAAGGCGCGCAGTAACGAGCATCCCCGATCGATGCTCGAACGTCTAAATCTTTTCAATAGGACGTTACCTCGTCCCTTTGCTCTCGAGATGATTTACACTGGAGACTCGTGCGCGCGCGTCTGAAAAAGATACTGTGAAAATATACGCGGCGGAATATTTTAGGGCGGACCGATCGTTACCGGTGAAACACGCAGCGCGCGGTCGCGCCATAAACGTCCCAAATACCGTAATTTACCGCGTTATTCCGCGTACCCACCGGGCGGTGTGTGTTACACACAGTAACAGAAGACTAAACAGATATCGAGCGGCTACTCGCGCCGACATGCACTTTGCCCTGAACTTTTCGTTTGCTATGCGCGCGCGTGCAAGAGGGTTTTATTTTTCCAGAGTATCCTGCGGTAAAGCAACCGTCAGCGGCCGTCAATTTACAAGAAAAATATTGAGAAAGATCTAATTATCTGCCGCGATCGCCGGTGAGGTTTTTTTTACGCGGAAATTACGAGATCGAGCGAACGAACGGGCGGACGTGCCGGGGATACGCTGTCGACGCGATGGCGGTGGCGTTTTAATAAAATTAGTTGGTAAGTTCGGCCAATAAGGTGGCGATGAACGATGCGGTCTCGTATATATACGTCGTACCTGTGCTGCGTCGGCGATGATAATACCGTTGCAGCGGAGGAGGATGAGGACGACGCGTCGTTGGTTGACGCGAAAATACGAGGCTGCTCGAGCTGGCAAGTTTCCTGATTAAAGCCGTTAATTTGTAATTAAAGGGTGTGTACGAGCGCGCGCGCGCACGACAAACGATGCTGCCCTTTCTCCTCGTCCTCATCCCCCCGATGCCCACAATCACCATGACGGACGACGCTGTATGTGCGTTTGCGGCGCGGCGCGGAACTCGCGCGATTACGTTTCGCTTCCGCGGACCGTAAAATTTAATCTTTCCGGGCCTCGCGCGGGTTACGCTTCTCGGTCTTTTTTTCTCGTTCCGAATGATGCGCACGGGCGGGCGCCGTGTACGGTTTGCGCCCAAACCGAGGGGTGTAAATTCGAATGTTAAAAAAGTTACGAGGGCCGCTCCTCTCGCTTACACGAGCCCGAGATCGAAGACATCGATCTTTCGGTCGGAAGGATTAAGCGAGAAATCATTGACTCTATTGCCATGGTAGCATAAACCAGAATTGTCCTATCACAAGTTCCTATCATCCAAAAATATCGTAACTTTTCCTTGATTTCCGGACAAAATTTCATGATTTTCCCCGACTTTCAATAATATTTTTAGTTTTCTGTTTCATCCAATCTGGAAACCGTTAAATATTGTACTTTGTTGAGAAATTAATTTAACCTTTAAGTAGGCACGTGGTTACTCTACGCATTTTATTTATCTTAAACAAATTTTCTTTATTTTGAGAAAGGAAAATAAAAAGAATTACCCAGAAGTTTTAAAGTTAATTATTTCTATATTTCTCTATCTCATAAGAATATCAATAATGTCAAAATTTAATTCTATACTATTAAAAAATATCATTGAAAAAACTATAAAAATAAAATTTGTTTGAAGCGTTCTGAGCATCCTACTTATTTAACATGGTAATATAAACTATTAATATAAACTATTATTGTTGACACCGCTTGCATTAGTAATTGCTCTTTAATTATTAAGTTGGTATTCGAAAACTGTATTAATCGTGATATACTAAACTCCTTTAAAGCCCAGAATTTCAGTTTTTCATAAAATTCTGCAAAATTTCCTGATTTCACCGATCGTTTTCAATTCCCTAATTTTCATAGTTTTGTGACAACCCTGCAAACAAACTCCATTCCGTCTCGTCAAATCTCGAAATTCCGCCACATTATTAATCGCGCTGCGACTACTGTTTTTCTCGCGAGACTTTGAATCGATATTCGAACGAGCACTGACATCTGCATAACGATGGTTGTTTTAAAAAAAGTGCAAAATAAACAGGTCGCTTTTGCGATCGTTTCACTTCAGCCACGCGAGATCGGCAATACTCGAGCCGCGTACATTCGGCGAAACGTACTTTTCCGCGTGCGTTGAGAATCCGACGGATCCCGCTTTCCACGCGCACGCTATTCACAGCTGGAGGAATCTCCACGTGTAATCAGAGGGATCCTCGATGCGCGACGTTCGCGTCTTTTTACGGCGAGCGAGACTTAAAGCGGCACGGAGCGGTGGAGCTCGAGATTCCAGGCTGAAAAGCGGCGCTCTCGAGGAATCTTGAGGAACGGCGGCGTTTCTGAAAGGAGCACTATCGAGTACCGAATTATTGATACCGAAGGCTTTCAAGAAGGCATCCAAGTAGGGAAGCCGTTCGGTGTCTCGCGTGGCGTTAACGACTACCTACAAATTATGAAAAACGTAAGCTCCACGTTTTCTAACTTTATTTGACCATTTAATTAATCATTCTCCGACTGGAAAAGAAATTGATTAACGAAAAATCGAAATCTTAAATGTAAAAGTGCCATGCCCTCGTCGAGTTTGATTCATTAAAATATATAAATATAATGTATAGATAATTGTTTTAATTAAATCGCTATTGAATTTAGTTTATATAGGTCGCGAATTAATACCAAAATTATTAAATGTTTAATAATTAAGCGCTCGTAGAAAATTGGAAATCGTGAATTTAAATGAGAAATACTGATTATTAAAATCGTTTGGCTAAATAATTGTTTTACAATTTTTAACAAGCTAATGATACAAGGGCATTAGAACTTGCGTGCAATTTTAAATAAATCACGTCGCTCCACAACCTGTGGTTGCGTTACATATTGCGTTGTAATATCGATACGCGGGCTTTCCCGTTGCATGAGCTTTTAAAGCATCGCATGGCTTTTCATGCGCTACGGGCTTGTTTCGTTTAATCATTTTCCAAGAAGAGCCATTGCTAGACGGACAATACATCACTGTAACCAGATTTAAAACAGGACACGAGATTTCGTTGGCCGTGCGATACGTGAAACGCGAATGCGATACGAAAAATGTACAGAACGGTCGGGGAGGGAAAGACGAGGACGACGGTCGAAGGGAAGAGAAGTTACGTGCTACGCGTGCAAAGCAGGATCCCAAACGGGTAGGGTCCGAAAAACGATCGCTGTCACGGCAAAATCGAATCGGTCCTCTTAGCTGTCATGGATAGATCCAGGAAAACGGAAAGATGATCCTTAAAGAGACGAGAGAAATCGGAGAAATAATGTATCTCACAGCGACACATGTTTTCTCTTGCCGACTGATAAAACTATGTTGCTGGACGAAGAGAACCATTCGATTGCGCATAGTCGTCTATCTTTCTTAACAAGATTACGAATTCATGATTATTCGAGATCTAAATTCCTTCTTCATTGGGACATTTCTGTGACTTTTCAAAGAAAATTCCAATGTTTAATTTTCAGAAAATTATATTACACAAGTCTCCGCAAATTTTATGACATGTAATTCATATTTAATCTAAAATTACTTTCGAAATCAAGTTCGTAAAATTGTCAATCACGTATTTTTCATTATTAATAAAAAGTAAAATTGAATAAGCAATTCAATAAGCTCTAAATTCAATATTTTAAAAATTAAATCGCAAATGTCCTCACCCGAAGTAAAATTTATATAAAATATCCATCTTATTTCAATTACACGTGAGATTGAAAATAAAATTGAAATGCCAAATACAAGTGATCGGTATATACAGTGAAAGAAAAAGAATCGGCCCTTGGTAGTATTGAGTTAAAATCAGTAATCAGATAAAATTAAAGCGCCTGTAATACAAATATTTAATGGGGAGGAGGGAGGAGAGCAAAGCACCTCTCTGGACGACAACGAGCACTTTAAAGGCCTCACAAGACATGGCCGACGTTATCCTCTGAGAGCTACGGTCCAATCTGAGCCTGCTCTGATATTTTACGATCAAAGAGCTGAGTAGAAGAAAAAAAGAAAGATTCGCCATAAGGGTTCGTTCAAACGAGCTGGTAATTGCCATATTATATACTTTCCATTGCTCAAGATTACAAGGCACGCGAGCTTTAAGCTCGGTAATAATGTTGGGCGTTCTGGGTGGCCTCGCGGCACGTGGAGCTTAAATGCCGACTTAAGATCTCAAATTATAGGAATGTAGGCTCTTAAATTTTTGGGGACATGAAATCCTGTTGAATTTTACGGTCACTTTATTCCGGTAACTCCGGAGTTCGTAATCACGGGACGGAAGTCGCAGAAGACATCTATTACTCGCTCAATTATTTCCCTCTTCTGCTTCGTATTCACGAATACAAGTGCAAACTGCACCCTGCATTTGTTAGACGCAGTACAAATATTCGGACACCATTCAAGAAGTAAAGAAGGGAAATTAAATAATATATTTTTGTCTAAAAAGAACATTAATTAAATTAATTGTACAAAATTTGGCTACTTTTCTTAAAATTATGTACCAACACTTGTCTGTTTGATTAAAATTTAATTAACGAGTGAGGTCGATCACTCCATTAAATAAGCAAAGTTTTTCTATTTTGTTAGTTAATAAAATTCAAAGAAACTTTACGTAGCACAACAACGATAAATGAATTTTCTTGCCTCGTCGTTTACAATTTATTGCTCATTGCTAATCGCTTACCGATGTGCATGCGAATTTACTCAGAACAAGTCGCCGAGGGGGGAAAAAAAACGCGCCTCGAGTGCTTTCACGTGAGACAACGAGATTGCCGGAATGCGTGCGTATTTACGCGACAGGGGTCGTAGGTGCCAGTAGAATGGAGATGGCGGGGGTGGAGATTAACGACTACCGAGGAATAATTGCCGGAACACGCAAAACGCCGAGCCACTCGAGCTGATCTTCAGACCAAGAAGAGAAAGGCGAAGGAGGAATAGTGTAGGAGAAGACGAGAGAGAGAGAGAGAGAGCCAAGAGGGAATGAACGAGAAGGTATGTGCAATGCGTGTCTGTGTGCACGTTTATGTGTGTCGGAAGGGCGTAAGAGGGAAGAAGGATGGGTCGTTACGCCGTGGAAAAGCGGTGACAACGCCTCGGCTTTGAATCCGCCTTCCTTCCGTCGGGAAGGAAGGATAAGGGCGGGGGAGGGTGTGGAGATACGGAGTGAAAGAGGAGGAAGCAGCTCGGATCTGTCCGTCTGCCCCGTCTTCGCCGAGTACGCCACGCGGGAAGCTCTGCAAAATTTAAGGAGTCCATGGCAAACAGCGCGTACAGTGCCGCGCACGGAGGGTGGAAATGAAAACTGAGCGCGAGGATTTTTCTTCGCGCGCACTTCTGGCAATAAATATGAAGAAGGAGATGTGTTGTTGAGGAAGATATTATGTTGCATCGCGCGCGATCGTGCCGCTCGTGCGTGCACAACGGTACGTGGCGTCTCAACGTTAGCTATTTATTTATGCCCTTGTGACGGTAGCGAGCGAAGGAACAAAAAGAAATGTTTATTGCACCCTCACGCGACCTTTTGTATATTCGCCTGTATTCGAACTGTATTCGAATATGAACGGCGCGCTACGAACAATATTTTAACAACGCGTTTAAGGACGCTCGACTTGGAATCCACGAGCCATCGAATTTTTCCAACCCGCGGCGTCGACGCTCGGGTGGTATCTTGCGTTATCGCAAAGTTTTAACGAGATTGCCATTTACGAAATTACCGCGCGATGTGATCGGGAAACTCGGGGAACTAAAAAGTAACCGATTAATCCGGGACGATATTAACGCGATAAACCGACGCTCGGCAAGCGGCCGCGGTCGCTCGCCATTTGTAGATTTCGCTGAGTGTAAATGATATTACGTGCGCGTAACACATACGGAAACCACTTCCACAGAGACGTTTCTCTATCCCTGCACTCATAACTTGCTCCACCTCTCGCGCGCGTGACTATCCGGACCCGACTAAATACGCGTATATACACTAGGGAAGAAGAGAGGGATGGCACAGGTAGTTAGATAGGATACAAATACGTGTAAACATTCGGCTAAACGCGACGGATAGGGAAAGAGACAAATTCGCTTACAATTAGATACAACGCGAACGTGAGGGTGTACCACGTGCCATGTGCAAGGCACCGTGCTAGTGACACACACAAGCCGTGGGCGTCTATTCTCTGCTGCCTACAGGAGGAAAAAAATCATACATAAGTGCATAATACTACGCGCGCGTTCCGCTCGTATTAATACACGCGTGTGCCGCACGCACACGAATTAGCATCGCCGCGGCTGCGAGCAATGCGAGCGGCTGGGGAATAGCAAAGCGGTTAGCGGCGCGGTCCTCCCGAGCGGTAAATCAGGGATTTCGGGGCTGGTACGTGCACCGCGCCGTCGAAACGATCGCTCGATACTCGCTCATCCGTGCCACAACCCCCCCATCCTTTTCCCTTCGTTGCGCCAATCTCTCGTTTTTTTTTTATTCCTTCCCTCCCTCACGTACGCGCGCGTTCCTCGTTACTACCCGTTGTTCATGCAAGATCGGCGGATGCGTCTCGGGATTTTCTGCCGAAACTGACATCCGTGTAATTTCGCGTGACGTGCCGCCGGGCGTGGATCGCTTCGATCCGATCGGTTCGATCGATTGATCGGAATCGGAAGGAAATGCGATACCCCGCGGGATGGGCTCGAATTCGGGAACGGCGAGCGCAGTACGAATTCCAATGACCTATTAATACCAATTAAATACTAGACCCGAGGAGTTTTCAGCTGGAAATCGATGCTATCGGCATTTTCCGCAAATTCGCTGACACACTTGTAAACAAAACGTGCACATCGGCGCGTGTTTAACAGATAAATATATTAAAATCATTGGAGCGGCGTTATAGCGTTTTGCAAACAAGTCTACCCGTCCGGCGTATTTGACGGCGTAAATACAGATGAGTCTAATGAATATACCGCGCGATAACGGAGCTGATTGTGAGATAAAACTTTTACATAGCCACCGCGGTAGATTAAAGCGCGAGATAATTAATTAAATGTACGGCGCAGACACGATTTACCAAACGAAGAAGACGATGTTTCTACAAGTCGCGCTTTTTCATCCAAGACGTTTTCATAAATAGCAGCGCGAGAGAGAAAAATGGATTGAGGTATCGTGGCACGCTAACAGTTCCCTGATACGAAAACAAGAAGCCAGATGGTTTTCCCGAGAAAGTACCGTAAGATATAAAATTCGATTTCGCAGGTTAACTCCCCGAAGATGATGGTGAAGTTGAACGGAAACGACGGTGACCGATAAATAAACTCGCTTTTCGCGAAACGTTACGGAAACTTTCATGTTAACACTTGTTTTCACACACTTCCCTGATAGACCTTAAGCCTTCGTATAAGCATACTGGATTTTTTTTCTACTCAGGCGAAATTTCGCTCTCAAATTTCTCGGCACAAATTTTTCAATTTTTATTAAATAAAGGTTGTAATATTTAATTAAATAATTATTTGGCACAATGTAGCAAAGATGTTGAAAAGTAATCCTGAATTTTTTTCGATTTTTTTCAAAGCCTACAACATAATAGAAAAATTTGGTCTGCACAAAAAAAAAAGAGTACCTATGAAGTAAGTAAAAATATGTGTGCTTACGAAGAGTTAAGGGGATTCTAAAGTCTTGGTTTACAGATTATTTTTCAAACGAGTACTTTTCTAACTGTACGTGAGTCTTACTGAATCGGTGACTTTAGGATACCTACCTGCCCTTAAAATAAAAATAATCATATTCATATATTATATTGTTCGTAAAAGAGAAACATACGCGTATTCTATACATAGATTACATTTCTCTACAAATCTACGCTACTTTAAAATGGATATACTGGTTGATGTTACAGGACCTGTCAAGTTTACACGGATTATCAGCTTCCGACTGGTAACGACGGATTTATGCGAATAATACTCTCACAAACGCGGCAAGGTGAGTAAGCAAGCAGTTTGAATAAAGCGGCGACGATAGAGAACATTGGGGGCGGCTTTTAGTGTTTGCGTATACGATATCCCTCGCTCAGTCGTGTGCGTGTGCGTGTGCGTGTGTGTGTGTAGTCGCGCGCGTGTGTGTGAATCTGTGTGTATGTATGTTGTGCGCGAGGACACGCGCACTCTTGCTCTCTAAGGAAAAGCACGCTCAAGTGTTTACGTCTAGACGGCACAAAAATCCAATATTAAGAGCCATCACGCCGCGGCCGGTGGTAAAGAATCGGAAGTTACCGTGAATGTACGTCGAGAGGAATTATATGCCTTGCTTTAAAGGCACTTTGCGATTTCCCTGAAAAAAAAAAGGCCACTTGAAATGTGGTTCCTCTATTTATCGCCTCTACCTGTCTATTCGATCCCGCGAGCTTACCGTGATATTCTCGGAGACACTTTCAAAGAAATTGGGGCAGCGGATATCGCGGGCGGAATTTATGCGCTTCTGGCCGCGAAACGCGCGACGTTAATCCCATTAATCCCGCTACATTCAATTAATATCTCGTTTGCATCGGCAATATCTGTTTAAGTAATTAAATGATTATCCGTTAAATATACAGCTGAAGAAACCTCACTCGTAATAATTCTATTGGGATTATTCACACCCGTATCAAGCGACGATATCGATGCGCGTTCAATTAATATTTGTCTCGTGATGGAATTATCGGCACGTTTGTATGAGAAAATTAGCATTTATTGAAAATGTATTGTAATAAAATTTGAATATATACACACACATAAATATATATATTTAAATAAATAAATAAATTATACATATCGTATATATCAATTAGCTACTCCAACAATATAAAAAACATTCATTCACTTTAAGATGAAAGTTGTACAAAATAACAATATATTAAATATTCAAATCAAAATGACAAATTATAATAATTGGCTACGTATATTCACATAAAATGTGACAACAGTTTGTCGAATATTCAATTGATAAATCTATCTCATATTCTGCACAATCGATGTAACAGATTTAGTGAAAGGGATATGTAATGCCTCAAGGCTTATATAATAACACAACATTTAGAATATAAATCCAAATGGAATTATGTCAAAATAACCTCTGCTACTAGAATTAGATTATGTGTTTGAAACCAATTTCGTATATCATCTATGTGATTTCCAATTATAATCAAATAACTACGCTTTAAACTAAGCTGACAAAACTAAAAATATTCGAATGGTGTACACGAATGGTGTATAACGAATGTGACTATTAAACGTAATTAGATAATTGAATTACAACAAATTACTTCAAAACAAGTTGTTTACTCGTGTTATATTTTTGACTATTTGTCGAACTCTTTGTCTCATTAGAATTTATGTGTATCGCTTATTATAGAAAGATATCGAAATTTAATGACGAGCTTTTCCGCCGAATATCTCGTTTCACATTAATAATTCGAGAGCGTACACGATTCGTGAGAATAAGACTTGCGTGTATCTTAACAAACTTCTCGCGCACAACACACATAATCTATGCGCATAAGCCCGCAATTATGAACACTTATCGATTATTATTAGAACTTTCTGTGTAGGTTCGCGGCATGCAGAGTACACAGCTGCATATAAAACAGCTGATTAATCCAGCGCTCGCTTTTCTAACGAGTTACTCAATCTCGTCTGAGTAAAGTTTGATAAATTCCGTATATACATTTGTCGACCTCGACGCAACTTTAGTGTTCGCAACGCCAGTCAACCATGCGGCAAAGCTTATAATTAACGAGGGCCACGAACAGCATTATGCTTGATTAACAAAGAGTGGCAGAAATGTCATTCGCTTGGACTTTCTTTATGTTCATCTAGCCGCGGGTAAGAAAATAATATAAATTCAGCAAGAAATCCGTATAACGCTACTGCATAAGATCTTTTAATTTTGTTATACCTCAGGTATACACAATACTTTTTACTTGACCAGAAAATCCGAAACCGTTACTTAATACATCTCGACATTTGTCTCGTGCCATATGTCATCAATTAATCAAAAAAGGATGAATCGTAAAAAATTATTATATACCCGGAGAGAACGATCTTGTTGAAATATCCAAAAATTTAGTTAGATACAGATCTGAAAATAATTTTGTCAAACCATCAATGAATGTTGACATTCTCGCTATCGGTTTGAGTTTCCTAAAGATTTTGATTGATCTAACAAAATTATTTTCAGATCTGTATCTAGCTAAATTTTTTGATATTTCAAAATCGTTCTATCTGTGTAAATATTAAGCACGGTAATGTATGACTGTAGAACAATCCGAATAATGTAGAACATTTCGAACAAATGGTTCAGTGTGACCTGAAACGTTTGGGATTTTTATTTTATATCTGATTTTGTCAATACATTAATTGTAATATTACGCATTGACATCGTGCTTGACTCACTGCTCCGTGTTATTTAAATTCGTTTGAATAGAATATTTAAACTATAATGCGCACAAAAGGGAGGTGTATTATAAAAAGAAAAGACAAAGGGTGATATAAGGTGATTATTTGCGTGCCGGCCCTGGCCTTTTTTCTAAATCGCATTGAAATGCTGCTCGATAGTACTTAATCCGCGATTAAGCCTCAATTCAGGCATCATTAAGCCGGAACCAAAGGACGTCGAAAACCGTCGTGGAGACGACTGCGAGATAGATGTACGATCGATTCTTCCCCGCGTAAGCCGGGCCTTGACTCCGTCGATCCCGAACGTCCCTATTCACTAGTCCGATCGAATGCTGGGTTTACCACTGTCGACTGATAGGCGCCGTCGCTATACGCGCTTATCCCGCAGCTCTAACCCTGAAATGTATTGATCCCGGGGCGTTAAACTGGACAGCATTGTTACGAATTCAGCACAAATGGAATTTAACTTGTCCCAATATGATTTGTTAATTTATTATTAAAACGATTTGGCGTCGGGACTTTTATTTTCCATTAATTAGTCTCTAGCCGTGACAATGCGAAGTCAATATAGAAAGAATTATTTTGCTGAAAGAGATTTCAATTTTTGCTAGATACAGATTTGAAAATAATTATGTTGGGAACTAAAAAAATGATGAGCAATATTGCATAATTATTTCAGTATCTAACAACATTATTTTTAAATCTGCAGCAGAATTTCTAGCGAAATCGTTCATTCCGTTTTCAACGTAGCAACTTATTAATGTTGTTTAGAGCTCTCTTCCTAACTACCGTTATTTGTTAAGGATATAATTGCTTTTACACGTAATATATTCTTGTCATTTACCACTCTCGGCGACGTTATCCTTGACAAGTTCTAGGATAATGGAACGTACGTTCGTTTTACGACACGCTGCATGCACTTAAGCCACGACACCAGGAAAACGTGTTTCAAGGTTTGCTGCAGGCAACACATTTTCATTCTCGTTACATTCCCGTCTCTTGCGCGCGTCCCATATGTTCGCACACGGAAAGAGCACGTTTGTCGATTTAGAGGCCGTGAATCTTTAAAGTCGACGACGGGGAGAGATGCGCGCAACGGACAGACTTGCATCCGAATGCTTTCACGGTGGGATACCGTTAGATCCCACCACGCATTCGGTAGTCGTTTCGTACAATGAAATCTCTAGGAAGGAAACACCGTCAGGGTATCGTATTCCGCATGGTCGGCCGCTCATTTCAAGCTGGTTTATGAGCTCGGCGGCGCATTAATTCGGCCGAATGATGGTTTCGGCCCGTAACCGTCATTTCGTAACCGAATGCAGGTATCTAAAGCGCTATTCACGTCCTACAGTTTTGTCTGATACTATGCTAGAATTTCTCGTCTCCACGCTTTCATTAGCTTGCACGTATCGACTTCTATGTCGATAGTTAAAATATCATGCATGTGTAATGTACGTTGGACTAATGCATAGAATGTTTCACAATTCGTAATTTTAATTTCAATGATTTTCTCTCGAATTCGACAGATATTTTTTTTTGTCAAGAGTGAACTCGTCACTCTACAAATTTTCAGCTTTTAACAATTTAGATAAACAGATCCCGAATCTAAATGAGCAGTCACAATTGCGTACGACCAGATGAAATAATCGCACAGAAAGTAATCGTACAGCAATAATAATTAATCAGCTCTACCATCCACTTCCGATGTGCGTTGGTCCATCGTTCCGTCCATCGCGAGTTTCCGCATGGCCGCGGGTGATAAAAAGTATTCGACGGCGATCGATGTAGCCGGGAAAATCACGATGAATTCTCAGTTCTCAGTTCGTAGCTTAGTGCGACAGCTCTTGTTGCGACGGCAATTAGGAAATGAAAGTCAAACGGCTGAAAAATCGCTCCCTCGCGATCGAGTCGTTCCGTACCGGCACAAAGTAGATCCTCGAGAGTGACCATTTAGGGGGGTAGCAGTTGGTAGAACGAGATAGTAAAACAGGGGATGAGAGACAGGCTGCGGATATCGAACGAGAGAAGAGACAAAAAGAGAGGTTGAGAAAGGAAAAGGGTAATAGCGATGAGCGGAGCGGCGAACGGACAGTTAAAGTGGGGAAAAGGGAAATAGAGGAAGATGGGTAGGACGGACTGTGAGAACTTTTTTGAAAGTTCAAGCCGGCCGGAGTTATCGATAATCGATCATGCGAACTACTACTCCCGGACTCGTTTCGTGGTTGAGCGACGTCGTGCGTCTACGGCGATTTTAAATTCGCAAAGGAGAATAAGGCGCGCGGAACGGCCCGCTCGACCGTGAACGTGCAAATTTGAGTCTCCACAGTCGACTCCCCGCGGAAGCTGTATCTATCTATATGGTACAGTCGATTGGTCTGGATGGGAAACTGGGTTATGCAATGATTCGATAAATAATCGTGTCGGATTTATAGATTCATAAAGATACGAAATTAAAATTCGGCAGATACTGCAACTCGACTCGATGCAAGTAGATATCAAAAATTCATAAAGATTAAGAATACAAAAGTATTCACAAGTGTCCATATTAAACATCGTTAGTTAAAAAAAAACAATGGTATCCCGTTAATTAAAGTAATATTTTGTTATTTTATAATCGGAGGATATATAAAAAAAAGATAGAATAACTTATAAAAAAGTATACATATAGTTTGCAAGCAAATTGCATAATTTTTTTTTTAATGTAACTGTTTTCTTTATATAAATTGATTCATCTCATTATTCTGTGCACAACAGTATTAAGGTGCAGTTTACTAAAATGAATATAGCTTAGCAGATAAAGATACTTTTTAATCCAATTAGCAACTTCCAAATGGTGCTACAGCAAAATCTATCCGTTTTTTATAATTTTTGAGGAAACTTTTAATGAACATACACATCTCATAATCTACAACAAAATATCACGATTTCAGCCAATTTAATTGAAGCCACTTTTTTCATATGATTTGTCTTTAATACATTTTTCTTGAGGCAAATTAACTTCATTGTTTTATTATAATAAAATTAACATCGTATTGAGAGTAGCATCAGTGGCGACCTATAAAAATGATTAAAATTAGCTTAAATTGGATATAATTTGATTATATGAATTTAACTTAGTGTCTAAGTTTATGAAAGGAAGTTATAATTATTGCACTTATATTTCTCGATTATAATATTTCAATCGAGAAACGAATGTATTCCGATTGATGCCTGGAGTATCTAAAAATTGTATCCTTTGGGATTTATTATACGCAGTCTTCCAATTTCTTTCAACAGAAAATTTTAATCATTTCCTCCCGGACGATTTTGTCTTTCCGCCAGTCTGTTCATTTGGTTTTCCCGCCACGACTAACTTAATTTAAGCCACGCAAATCCTTGACATTTCAATTACAAATTAAGCGTTCGCCAACCACGTCGCGAGTCGTCCCCGATGCTCGATCCATCGAGCAATTCGTCGAAGAGGACAGGGGAGATTGGTGCGAGTGGAGGGGGATGAATTTTTAAAAAGCTCGAGGGAAACGGGGAAGTGATTTGAAAGTTTCGAGGATGCCGAGTAGAAAAGTTTTTAAAGGGCGCTGGAAGACGCAGCGGGGGAAGATGCAGCGGAGGATGATATAAGAAAGGAGGAAGGAAGATGGCGCGTGGTAGGCTGCAGCGGATGGAGGAACAGTGTAAGCCATGAAATTGAACTGGCTGTCTGCAACACCTTCGGCTTCGAGGAGGATGCTCTGCAGCCAGTTATATCGAGTTGTACACCATCGGCAACGGAGACTGGAAAGAAGAAAGTTCTCGCTCACGCGTCTGCACGCGGAATTTTTACGATAAATCACGGCGATGAGTTTTAAAGCACGCGAAGCGCGCCCGCACCTCTCGTACCTTC